AGGGCACCCAGGGGCTCTTTTCAGTGACCAGTCATTGTCAGGTCCAGGAGGTTCAGGGATGGTGAGAGCCATTTGTTCCCCTCAGATCAGATGGCAGCAGAAGCTTGACTCAGCCTGGAGCAAGAGCGATAAGGAAGGGACCTGCAAGCAGGACATGGCAGGACTTGAACTCTGTCCCCAGTACTGATGAAGGCTGCATTCCCAGCCCAGGCTGACAGTCTGGGGGTGCTCTTGGGTCTCCCTGTTTAGACCCCCCAGGGACATCAGACACTTCCATTGCCAAGTGGAAAGCCTTGAGGACCCCGGCTTGAGCTACCATGAGTGCAATTCACTGCATAACCTGACACTAGGAGACCACAGCAGACCTGCCCGAGGGTGCCAGCTGGCCATGTGCAGCACAGCATCACTAGTTTCAGCCACTACATCATCTGCTTGGCTGCCTCAGGAGGTTACTTTCAGCATCTAAGACCCTTGTTCCTGTCTGGCACCCCCATTTCCCAACTCCCTCCCCTCTAGAAAGGTAGTCATGTCCATGAAAATCACTAAACTCCTCCACCCAGGAGTTAAACCCTGAACAGTCAATACTTGGGAACAGGCAGGGCCCAAACATATCCAGGCCCCAGTCTCCTGCCCTCCCCTCCTCCAAATGGGAGCAATGTTAATATTAACTTCTCTGCATCCCAAGCGTGTAGACAAACCCATTAATGTTTGCCAAGCAACTGCATACGATGCTGCCGGGGGCTGGAGAAACACCTGGGGCCCGATTCCTGGCTACACGTGGTACCAGGCAATCACATACAGCAGTGCAAAGTGGGTCAAACACACTTCTGGGTTTCATACTCGCTTTGCACAGCTATAACTGATCATGCAAAGCACAGGGCAATGGAGAACCAGCCCCACTAAGCAGGGCCATGATTAGACAATTCATATTACACTTCCAGGTCCCGATGCTCACTCCTGCCTCCTGAGGGAAGAGGAATGCTTCGCAGGGGGCTGGGAAGCCTAATTCATTATTGTCTGCAAGATGCTTTTTCCTCCTCAGATGAAAGGCACGGCAATGGGGAAGCACAAAGGGCTGCCGCTGTGTTTCGCTCCCGCAAATAATCAGAAAGGGGATTTTGTTTTTTAACCCCGAAAGGCTTGTGTTGTAAAATAGGACGTTCCTACCAGCAGGCAACAGAGCGGGCTGCCTGAGGGAGCGGGGAAGAGAATGCACATTGGAGAGAAATGCAGTGTTTTATAATTTATCACAGAGCGTTAGTGATCGAGACTCTTCTGTGGAATATTCCCTCCTGGGCCTGCGCTGATGGCAACACTGCTTAGCACTTTACAAGTAGCCTCCTCCCTCGGAGGGTCCCAGAGCACTTTGCAAACCCTAATTAATCCTCTCGCTCTCTGTCTCACGCGCACTCCCATCACAACAGCACAGTGGAAAGAGATGCGAAAGCCTGATCATGGCAGATTTCACAAAGCGGCCTCCGGGAATGTCCTGCCCTCTCTGGTAAGGATAGCAAGACCTTCTAGGTTACTTTGTTGAGAGGCGCGGAGCAGCTGCAGCTCCCAAAGGCGACGAGGACTTTGCACCTCCGGGCAAAAGTTCCAAAAGGGCTGTTGAGTGGTGACGAGAAAACCACTGAGGACACAGGCCGCCGCGCACCAAACCTCGTGCATTCAGATGGATGCACTGATGCATGCCCGGGCTGGCACAAGGACTGTGCTTTGGCAACATGAAGGGGCTTTAAAGCATGGGCGGGGAGTCAATGACCTCCGGGAGCATGGCCTGCCTGGGGCAACCTCCCAGTTACCAGAAAGCTGCTACATAGGCTCTCTCTGTATCAGCTCAGCTCCCAGCCTCCAACTCCAGGCAGCAGAACAGGGGTACTCGGTTCACAGCAGGAGTCTGTTCTGGAGGATTCATCCCAGGTCTCATCTCCCTGCTCAGCCCCATCCTCCCTGCCTGGGTCCTGGCTGGAGCACGTCCACCTGCTGCGCTCAGCACCCAGCGGCAGCACGTGTATAGTGCCCTCGTGCACCTCGTGATACGCTGCTGCCCCGGGCAATAAAGAACCACGGGAACTGGAGCAACGTGAGTGAGCCTGGAGCCTCAGCCGACCCACGCTGGGCCTCACCATTCCCCAAGAGCTGCAATTGTCTATTGCAAAAACGAGTCACCGCTGTATTGTGGGCTTTCTCCTCCCGAAGCACCAGCTCTGGGAGTCATGAGACTCCCTGCCGTCGTTCTCCTCCCCCCCGCACGCTCCAAGCTGCCCAAGAAAGGCTTGAGCTCGTCAACCGAGTGCAACCTACAGGCTCAGCAACTGCGTGTGTGTGAAGGGGGGCAAAATATAAAGGACCAGACCTATTATTATTATTAATTCCCTGACCAATTATTATTGCTACAGTCACAGGCTGTTCGAGCCAGTCCCTGCTCGACCGTGGAGCGGCCGGGCGTCACAAAGCTACTATGGAGATGCCCAAATCCCCTTAACTCTGCCCCTCCTGCCTTCCCCTATCCCCGCGGGCTCCCTGCTCTGCACAGCCGGCCCTGTTGCATGGCTCAGGCTCCAGGGCTTGGATTTAGACCCAGGACGAGACCCTGGGGTGGAGACGGGAGGAAAAGGCCCCGATCCCCTGGTCTGGATGCAAGGGGGAGCTCCAGCACATGTCTAGACCCTAGTGCATGGGCAGCAGGCTGCAGTGGGGGAGGGGGACCTAACCCCCACCCCCAAGGAGCTTGGGGACTAAATGGGGGGGCGGGGGTGTACTGGGACCCCCCACCCCAGTCTAGGGGTGACCGCGACGCGCCTGCACAAAAGACCGGCAACTTTCTCCCAGTCCCCGCTCCAGGGAGCCCATTCGGACCCCCGGGAACCCCTCTCGCCGCCCCCGGGGATTTTCCAACCACCCCCCGCAGCGCCATCCCCCGTGTCAGGCACTGCCGAGCCACCCCAGAGCGCCAAGAGGCTGCGAGGACCCCTCCCCCACGCAGGGCCTCCGCTCCCTGGGGCACTTACTGATGACGATACGCGCGGCACCCCACCGAGGGGCGGGGCTTCTGGGAGGACTTCAAGATTCGGCCCCGCCCACCGCTGCGCCGGGGACTGCGCTCGCGAGAAGCGGGACCCAGATCTCGCGGGATTTCAGGGGCAGGCAGTCAGCTGTCCTGGGCTATGGGCAGCCCTGGTTCAGGGGAGTCCTATGGGGAGGGGCGGGTGGCCCAATGGGATAGTGGGTGGGGGTCCCTATGGAATAAGGGGTCCCCATGGGATAGGGGCCCCTTGGGATAGGGGGGTGGGGGCTTGCAGGGCAGGGTCCTCCAAGGGATGGAAGCGTGGGGTGGAGGGGGGCAAATGTGGATCCCCCACCCTGCATGGGGCTCCCCGTAGGCTATAGGGGCAGCGAGGATGCCCATGTGCTGGAGATGGGGGCTGGAGCTGAGCCCCCCGGAGGAGCAGGGGTGAGATCCCACTCCCGCCCCACTGCAGGGGCTGTGCAGGGTGGGCAGATGGCGCAGACCCGCCCCGGGCAGCGCGGAGGACTCCCTTCTACGAGCACATCGCTCGCTCCGCGTTTAGTTGCACTCGATTGAGCGCTGCCCCGGGGGCGCGCTCATCCCTCCGGCGCGGCGGGGAGGGAGGGGGCCGCCCGCTCCGGGAACCGCCCGGCTGAGCAGTTCTGGAGCATCCGCCGCCCGCTCTCACCCAGCGCCTTGCGCTTCCGCTGTGCAGGAGGCCTGGCCGATGTGGGGCCGGGGGGCTCAGCTTGAGCGTCTCTCTTGACTTGGTCTCTTTGCGCCAGCCCTTAAACACCCCGTAGGCTGCAGACACGTTTCGGCTGCAGTGACAAGGTGCCATGATTAGGATTCACCCTGAACTGAGCAATGAGGGACCTTGAATGAAGCTGAGGGCTTTAAACTGCCAGAAACTGGTCAGGAGCCCAGGAGCTACGGGGATGGGAGACCAGCCAGCCCCTAGAAGGGTTATCTCCCTGCTTGAGCATCGGACAACTCGGCCTCTCAATGCAACTCCCGGCTGCTCCGTGTCCTGCGTGAAATATCCGGCTGGAGGATGGAGGCACCTTTCACAGAGCCGTGTAAAGGGACCCGTGCAGAAAAGTGCGACCGTGCTCCACCATAAAGGGCCCTTGTGTGTCTTCTCCATAAATAATAACAAGGAAACGTTTCCCGGGCAAGGCATGTGCTGTGCCTGGGCTTGCGGCAGGCCGGGCACCAGGCACTGCAGGGAGTGGCGGAGAGCAAAGCAGTGCCTGATCCTTGAGGATGAGCCACTCCTGGATCTGCCGGGGAGACGAGTGCTTTTATCACAGAGATGGAGGCACAGACGGGATGAACGGCAGCTTGTGAGCAGGCCGACGGAGTCAAATCCAAGCACCTTGGTGTCTGCTCTTGCTTCCCCGCAATCAAGTCCCTGAGCTGCCAAGAGAACCCGGGAGTCCTGACTCGGTGTTTCTCTTCCCAGTCCCCACTTAGCTGGTAAACCCAGGAGTTTTGGCTCATCCTCCATCTGCCACATCCCCTTTCCTCCCAGAGTCAGGAAGAGAACCCGGGTGTCCCCAGTTAGACCCCCTTCCCTGAACAAAATGATGCTGGTGGCTTGCGCCTCGCTCTCCCTTGGGTCCTGGATGGTTCCTGAGTCTCCTCCCTGCCAACACAGACCTACACAGGTGCTGTGGGCCCCTGGATGTGACCCCTTTTATCCTCAGAGGAGAGAAGTCATCATGGTGCTGCCAGCTCGGTACCTTTAAGACCTCGTGTCCTCCCTCCTCAGCCTGTCTTCTTTCCAGGAGTTCCTGACTTATTAGGAAAGAAATCAAATTATATTTTATCGCCAGCCTGGGTAGCACAGGGCTGAGAGATTAAATTCCAGCATGACAGCAAGAAGCAGCGTGCGAGGATGGCATCCTATCTCTGTTGGGCTGCAGCGGGTTATCATCAGGCGCTGGGCTCGGAGAGACAAATTACGGCTTTCTGGAGGGAGCTTTCTTGCTTTGGGGTTGTTTTTTTTTTAAACCTGCTGTAGCTGTCGGACTGCTTGGCATCGACCGCTCCCACCCTGCTTGATGGCAGATGTTTTCCTGATAAGGCTGAGCAACAGGGCCTGGGCAGGGCCTGGCATTTCAGGCCTGGGCTCAGGGGTCGTGGCTGGTAGAGAAGGAAGAAAGGGCTTCTCGTGAGTGCAAGGTGTCAGGAAGGGGCCGGAGCCTGAGGGTGAGAGGTGATTTCTCCTCTCCCATCTGCCAGACAGGAGCACTCAGAAACCCCCCCCCCCCTCATTTCTGTCTTCATAGCAACACTGTCTCAGGCTGGAGGAGGTGGTCCCCATGGTCTGGCACGGACATGGTCTCCATGGGCTGGGAGCCTCCCGGCCTGGTTTTGCTGAGCTGGGTTGCCTTTCCTGCTTAGCTCAGCTCACCCAAATGCAGCCCACAACTGTCCTTCAAGGAGGGCCACCTGATTTGGGCTCCGTTCCCCCTCTGCCACTGGCTTCCTATGTGACCTTGGCCATGTTACATAGTTGCTCACATACCCTGAGCCCTGGGATCAGTAGTGGGGCACTGTACCCTAGGCATCAGTACTGGGGCACCATGCCCTGAGCCCTGGGCATCAGTACTGGGGCATCGTACCCTGAGCCCTGGGTATCAGTACTGGGGTGCCGTGCCCTGGGGATCAGTACTGAGACACTGTACCCTAAGTGTGTCCCAACGGATGGAGGAGGGTTGTCGCAGGGACCTTGCAGCCCAGGGGGTGTGTGGGCTAAAGGGGTTCGGACTTGTTGGACCCTGGAGGTGGCAGAGCTCCAGGGGCATCAGGGCCTGGCTGGGAATCCAGCTCTGACTCAGTGTCATGCCAGACGCCCCTGGGAGAACCATGCCCCTAGGGGGTCTGGGCCTGGTGGCATTGCTCACGACTCCCCTGCCTTTTCCAGGTGTGCGGTTCTCTGAAGCTGTGCTCACCTAGGGCCTGTGGCACCAAGGTGAGCGTGAACATGCAGGGATCGCAGCAGGAGAACGATACCCCCCACCCCGCTGTCCCGAAAGGCCCCTTCCCTTCTCCCCTGCTCCTCGGTGCTTCTGACAGCCGCAGCCTTGTCGCGTCTGCGGGAAGGCGACGGTGGATGAAAGCAGGAGGGGAGAACAAGGCGAGAGACGTCGGCACCACGGAGAGGGCCCGACGCGCGTTTCATCCTGTGGAATAAATTAGAATACATCTTGGCTGCCTGGAATAAATTAGCTGGATGGCGAGGAAGGGAGATTCATTTCCCTGGGAAATGATGCTGCTGCGCATGAGGAGAGAGAGAGAGATGCCTCCAGGGCTGGAATCGCAGAGATGATCTAGTCATCAGGCAAGCGCGGCGATAACGCTGATGAGGTCATCTCCCGGCGGGCGGCGCGGGCCAGGCCGGGGGGGCCGTGAGACGGGGCTCAGACGCTGCTGTTGTGCAAGTCTTGCAGCGGTGTGGGGTGCAGGGGGGTGCAGGTGAAGAGGGACCTGGCCTCGGTGTCTGTCCACATCCAGGGCCGTGCATCTGCCTGTCTCTGCATAGATCACCTCTGTCTGCATCTGGCCACATCTCTTTTCCTCCACCTCTGTACACCTGCTGCTGTCTCTCTCCATCCATCCACAGACACACATCATCCATCCATCCACCCATCCATCCACTTATCTACCTACCTATCCATCCATCCATCCATCCATCCATCCATCCATTCACTTATCTACCTACCTACCTACCCATCCATCCATCCATCCATCCATCCATCCATCCATCCATCCATTCACTTATCTACCTACCCATCCATCCATCCATCCATCCACCCACGTATGTGTGTATCCATCCATCCATGTATTCAGCTGTCCATCCATCTGTCCACTTATCTACCTACCTACCTACTTATCTCTCCATCTGTGTATGTCTGCCCACCTACCCACCTAACCATCTATGTATCTATCCAAGTGTCCATCTATCCATCCATCCACTTATCTATCTATCCATCCATCTGTCCACTTATCTCCCTACCTATCAATTTATCCATTTGTGTGTGTATCCATTCATCCATCCATCCATGCTTCTATGCATCCATCCATCCACGTGTGTGTATCCATCCATCGATGTATCCAGCTGTGTCCATCCTTCTGTCCACCTACCTACCTACCTACCCATCTGTGTATTCATCCACCTAACCATCTATGTATCTATCTATCCAAGTGTCCATCCATCCATCCGTCCGCTTATCTACCTATCTATTCATCCGCATGTGTATCCATCCATCCACCCACCCACCTATCCATCTATGCACGCATCCATCCACTTATCTACCTACCTACCTATCCATCCATTCATCCACTCACCCATCTATATACCTATCCATCCAACCACCTACCTACCCACACACCCATCCATCTGCCCATGCATCCAGCTTTGTATCCATCAGTCCATCCATCCACCCACCCACCCACCTATCCATCTGCATATCCATCCATCCACCCACCTATTTACCTGTCCATCTATCTGTGTATCTATCTATCCATCTACATACCCGTCTGACCATGTATCCATCTACCTACCTATCTATCCATCCGTCCGTCTATCCCTCCCTCCCTCTCTCCCTCTCTCTCTCTTTCTCTCTCTCATTCCATGCTCCAGCAAAAGCCATTAAGAATGACAAAGCACCTTTTTGTTTTTCAGATGGGTCCCGGGAGCCGCGAGCAAATTGCCTGGCTCATGCATAATAAACCAGGCGTGGAAACACACCACGTAATAGGCTACATTTGTAGGGAAACAAAATCATTAAGCTAACCCATTCGCAGGGCTCCCTGGACGCCGCGGTGTGGAGCAAGGCCCTGAGCCCCTGTGTGCCCCTTGCTGGCACCCGCTCACTGCTAAAAGCTTCTGTGAAATGGGTCAGGGGAGCTGGTGAGTGGGGGGACGGTGGGGAAGGAGGCTGAGGTGTGACAGTGGAGGTGGAGGCAGGGGGTATTGCTGCCAGGGATCCCAGTGGAGATCAGGGTCCCAGGGTGCCCCCAACTCCAGGGCCCAGCATCCACCCTCAGTCCCCTGGAGCTCGTTGTGCAGCTCTCGGCATCCATCAGCAACCACGCACTGCTGCCATCCAGCCGCCTGCGGTGGAAAATGCGCCCGCAAGGAAATCAAAGTCGACGCGGCGGAGAGTGCTGGGGGCACGTGGGTGGCGGGGGGTGGTGCTGGAGAGCGTGGCTGGAACATTGCTCACAAAGTGGGGAGGCAGGTAAAGCAGGGGCCAAATCCTGCCTGCCACAAGACTTGGATGCCGAGGAGCAGGGAGACCCCCCCGAATGCAAATCACTTGCTTGGCTCCGGAGAATGGGGGTCCCCAGCTCTCTTGCACCAGGACACTCTTTTGAACCAGCTCCCCCAGCTCAGAGGCACTTGAGGTCCATGGAGGGGTGATCTCACCCCTCTCACCCCTTGGCCCAGCTTCCTTGCACACCCCCAATGCCCTTTGCATGCTTCTTGGCCAAACTCCCCCCTGCCAGCTCAAGGGCTGGCTGTTCCCTGCCGGACGCCCGGACATTTCGGGCAGATCTCCGGGCAAGAAGAACACCGGCTGCAGAGTTGCAAGAGTTTGCATCGGCAAGATATTTATATAAAATATATATTTATATACATTCATATAAAGAAACCTCCCCCCACCCTCGTCCCACGCGGACAGCCCGTGCCCTTGGGTGAGACAGCATCACTTGGTGGGCATAGGTTATTATCCTCGCTGGTGAGGCCAGGCCCCTCCCCGGACCCCCCCAGCATGGACAAGGCCCCCAGGTCCAGCTCTTATAGCACAGCCCCAGGGGGATTCGGGGCCTCCCGAAAGCCAGGAAGGTGAGATTTTTTTTGGCGAGGGGCACGGATTCAAGCTTTTCCTCCCACCCCCAAGGGCTCGGGAGACTCTTTGGAAATAGCGGGACTCCGGGCGCTGGGGCTGGAGGCCCGATGTCATGAGCTGGGCAAGGACGTGGGGCCCTGAAGGTCCCTTCGGCTGTGGGGCAGGGAGGATCGGGGGCGAGGGCGTGCATACAGGGCTGCGGGGGCTTCTCCCCCACAACAGCCTCCGAGCCGGACCTGGAGCGGGGAGGGGGACGTCTCCCCGCTGTGTCCTGGCTGGGGGGGGGCAGGGG